TGCATTCAAGATAACCATAATTAGTATTAACCATTAAAATGAAAAAATGTTTCCCCTTGGGGCACCTGGGTGGCTCAGTCTGTTGTGTCAGACTCTTGATTTCAGCTCAGGTCATGATCTCAGGGTCATGAGATTGAGCCTTGCATCAGGTTCCACACTCAGTCAGGAGTCTGCTTGGGATTCTCTCTCTCCCTCTGCCCTTCCCCCCTCCCTCCCTTCCTCTCTCTCTCAAATAAATAACTTTAAAAAACCAGGTTTCTTTAAAAAAAATGTTTCCCCTTGTACCCGTGTAAAATTATCCCAAGTACCTTACCATGGTATACCCATATCATACTTTTACAAACACGGATCTACTGCAAACCTCTCTCTGAACATTCATTGTGAACATTCATATGGAAACTAAGGCCCAGAGAGGTTTAGGCACTTGTTCAAGTTCAGCAGGTGATGAGTGGCCTGCACTTTTGACTCTCAGAGACTCTTGGTTCATTCTATCTCATGCTTCTTTGGATGAAGCTGATGGGGGTTAAAGATATTTACCATCTGTATTAGTTTCCCAGGACAGTGGTAACAAAGTACCACAAACTGGGTGTCTTAAAACAATAGGAATTTTTTGATCTCACAGGTTCTGGAGGCCAGAATTCCAAAATCAAGGTGCTGAGGGGGCCATGTTCCTTCCGAACCCTCCACAGGGAGGATTCTTCCTGCCTCTTTCAAGTGTCTGGTAGCCCTAGATGTTCTTTGGCTTGTGGCACCATAATTCTAATCTCTACCTTTGTCTTTACCTGGTACTCTCCTTGTGTATTTATTTCCGTGTCTTTACGTGTCCATCTTGACATAAGTATAAGGGCCTACTCTACTCTAGTATGATCTCACCTTAACTAATTACATCTGCAATGACCCTATTCCAAATAAGTTCCCATTCTGAGGTACTGGGGGATTAGAACTTCAACATATCTTCTGGGGACAATACAATTTAACCCTTAACCCCATTCCAAAGGGACTTGAATTTCATTGGGGGCATTGAAAGACCCCCAGAGGGATGCCTGGGTGGCTCAGTTAGTTAAGTGGCTGCCTTCGGCTCAGGTCATAATCCCAGTGTCCTGGGATTAAGCCCTGCATTAAGGGAGTCTGCTTCTCCCTCCCCCTGCTCTTGTGCTCTCGATTGCCCGCTCTCTCTCTCTCCCTCTCAAATAAATAAATAAAATATTTTTTTTAAAGTAAAAAAAAGAAAGACCCCCAGATACACAAATAAAATTAAAATGATGGAATTACATACATTGATAAAATAATAACTTGCACTGGACATTGTGGTGTGCCAGTATAATCTCCTTTGTTTGATCCTTACTTAGCTCTCTGAAGTAACCAAGTGTGGTAGATTCTTATGGTAATGGTCCCCAATGAGTCATTCTTCCTGTATCTATGTCTTTGTGTAGCCCCTTTGACAATGATTCTGGGCTTGGCCTTATGACTTGCTTCAGCCAATGGAATATTAGTAAATGTGATGCAAACATAGGCTTCTTAAGTACTTATATATTGGGGTTTTGCCTACTCTTGTTGCTGGGAACTCTTCTACCATGATGTGAAGAAGCCAGGACCTGTCTATGGAGGATGGGACTTCATATCACAGAGACAGGTTGTCTCAGTTGAGGTCCTACACCAACCAGCCTCCAGCTGATCTGCCAGCTGATTGCAGCTACATGAGTGACCCCAGGGAGAATAGGAGAAGAACCACCAACTGAATCCAAACTGATGGCTGACTCACAGAATCATGAGCAAATAAAATGGTTGTTTTAAGCCACTAAGCTTCTGTGTGGTTTGTTACTCAATGATGTGTAATTGACACAGAAGATATTGCTTCTATTTTATAGATGAAGAAACTGACTCTCCAAGGATTTGATTGAATTGCTCATCATGACAAAGACTGGAAAGAAAGAGAAAGCCCCATCCTTCTTTGATGCAAGAACTTAGCAGTTGAACACAGTGCTATGGGCATTTCTGATCTTCGCTGATCAGTAATACATGACAGAGTTTGAGAAATTCTAGAAGAAAGGAATAAAGTATTCTAGGGGCTGAAGTCTGACCAATATAAAGAGACTACAGAGATGAGGCTCTTTTTGTCTAGAAAGTCAAACATGTGTGAGATAGGAGAAGTAAAGTCTGCAAAAACATGGTAGAGAGGTAGACAAAGACTAATCTGAAAATCTGAAAACTGGGGAGAAGGAGGACAGCCTCCAAAGCTTGAAAGAGGCAATTTTAGGACAAATGAAGGATAAGGCTTCTTTTCACAGTGAGCATTCAGTTAATAGGACTCGTTACTTTCAAGTGTGGTATAGGTTTAAAATGTAAATGGTCTTATTTACTTATTAATATATACAATCACATTTATTGAGAACATATTATATGGTAGGCACTGTGCTAGGAGATGGGGATTCAGAAATGAATAGTACACAGTCAGCTCACTCATATTCCAGCAGAGAGAGACATGTTGATTACTCAATCCACATATGCTGATTGAGCACTACGTGGGCCAGATCCTGTGCTAGTACAGTAGATAGATTGGTGAGCAAAACAGAAATCACTCCTGCTCTCCTTGAGCCCACAGTTTCTTAAAGAAGGCAGATGTTAGAGAAATAATTAAATTATAACACATGACTAATTAGTCACTAATGAACATGGTGTTGCAAGAGAGAAGTACAGGGAGCTTTAGGAATATACAAAAAGGAGTCATTATGTAGTCTAGGAAGTCATAAAAGATCTCCCTGAGGAATTTAGGTGTAAGCTGACAACAGGAGGCTGAACAGCAGTGAAGTTGGCAAAGAGGGGGGAGGGGGGAAGAACATTCATAGAGGGAACACTGTGTGACAAAGGGTGGAAGAGAGTTATTTGAGGAACTGAAAGATGTCTAGTATGGCTGTGTTGGAGGAAATAATAGGGGTAAGAATGGGCTAGAGTAGGTCCTTTTCTGCTGTGCTCTGCAGTGCCCAGAGGCTGAACACTAAAAACTGCATCACCTGGGCTTCATAGCCCCCTGACTTCCAGCTGGGTCTGGGCAACAGAAGCATGAGTAGGAGATCAGAGAACATAGGGGAGAGAAGGCATGATATTTATTCTACTCTCACCCTGCTTGGGTGCTGGGTTCTGGCAATTGCTATATCTTATAACAACAGTTCCTGTTGGGTGGCCCCACTTCTATGGCCCCAATTTTATTAGTTTTGGTAACACCCTTTGTTCACTCTGCCCATTAAAGCCTAGCAGTCACAATGACTTCCCACTTTTGCTAGTCCCAAGTGCCTTAATCTCCCTTTTTGTTCCTTTAACTTCTGTAAACAGTCTCTTTATTAAACTGTCTTTAAATTCCAGTTGAGGGTGCCTTCTGTTTTCTGCTCAGGAGACTCACTGTAAGTACTTTGGACTTAGTTCTACGGGCAATGAGAAGATGTTTCTGAGATTTCAGCAAAGGAGTGACATGATATTTGCTCTTTAAAGTATCTTGGGGTTTCTGCTTCTAGTAATGACAGAGTAAGATCTTACCAGACTGTCTCTCCTATAAAAATCAACTAAAAATCTGGACAAGTAGCAAAAACTGTAGCTACGTGAGGCAGCAGAGAATCAACAGAAGCAGACAGACTCTTCATGGAAGTATACTCTCAGAGGAAGGAAGTTTTTTTCCAAAGTAAGTTCTCATTTTTGTGGCTTTTCCCCTGTGGACAAGTGCAGTGAGGTGGCAGGGCGTTTGTGGAAAAACTGGAATCTCTCTGGGTTGGGAAACCAGGAAATTGAAGCCAGAGAAATTGTGGCTGCTGAAGAGAGTGGAGGAATCGCAGAAGGGAAAGAGCCGAAGAGGATCCCAAATTCTGACTACCCATATCTCTCAGTGGCCCCTCGTACCATACATTCACAGAACAGACTGATAGCAATTCAGTTAAAGAAAAAATATTTGAACAGACACAGGAACACAGGTACTGCTACCCAAGAAACAGTTAGTTGTTCTTATCAGAGGGAAAAAAACAAAAAACAAAAAACCACAATCAAGAATTTCCATAAACATTTACAATGACCAGGATACAACCCAAATTTATCTGACATACATAAAGCCATGAATTTGGAACACATTCTTGAGAGAAAAGAAAATCTGAAAATGACCCTGAGATGACCCAGATATTAGAACTAGCACACAAGGATTTAAAAATGGCAACTATAGGTGCCTTCTTAGCGCAGTGGGCAGTGCGTCAGTCTCATAAAAATGGCAACTATAACTATCCTCAATGAAGTAAAAGAAAATATGCCCATGATGAATGAAAACATAGGAAATCTCAGCAGAAAGAGAAAAATGATTTTTTAAAAAACCTAAGTGGTTAGAAAAAGGAAAAAAAATCTAAGTTGAAACTTTAGTATTGAAAAGTACAATATCAGAAATCAATGGACTTAATATCCAGTGAAGATGACAAAGGAAATAGTAAGTGGACTTGAAAATGGAGCAATAGAAATTATCCAAGGTGAAGAACAGAGAGCAAAAAAAAAAAAAAAAAGGGGCGCCTGGGTGGCTCAGTCATTGGGCATCTGCCTTCGGCTCAGGTCATGATCCCAGGGTCCTGGGATCGAGCCCCTCATCGGGCTCCCTGCTCAGCGGGAAGCCTGCTTCTCCCTCTCCCACTCCCCCTGCTTGTGTTCCCTCTCTTGCTGTCTCTCTCTCTGTCAAATAAATAAATAAAATCTTTTAAAAAATAAAAAAATTAAAAAAAATGCATCATAGTCAAACTGTGGAAAGTCAAAAATAAAGAGTAAATCTTGAAGGCAGCAAAAGAAAAACAGTACATTACATAAAGGGAACAACAATTCAATTTAGGTTACATTTCCCATTAAAAACCATGGAAGTTGGAAGAGTAGAATATCTTTAAAGTAGAGAAAGAAAAAAACTGTCAACCCAGAATTCACTACAGTGAAAATATCCTACAAGAATCAAGGTTAGCTTTCCACGTGACTGCTGCTGAGCAGCCATCATGGACACAAGCTGTGTGCAGCCCATCAAGCTGGCCAGGGTTACCAAGGTGATGGGTAGGACCAGCTTGCAGGGACAATGCACACATGTGTTTGGAGTTCATGGATGACGTGAAATGCTCCATCATCTGCAACGTGAAATGCACTATGTGTAAGGCCACATGCTCACCCTATTGGAGTAAGAGCAAGAGGCTTAGAGGCTGAGCTGAACTTGTGGCTGGGTTCTGCATGCCTGGTTGACCACTTGGCCCACAAGGATGATCTGTGATTATTGATAAAGCACTTATATTATTTTTTAAAAAAGGGTCAAGGTTAAATAAAGATATTTTCAAATGAAAGAGAATTCACCATAAGCAAACATGTACTACAAGAAATACTAAAGGAAGGAGCACCTGGGTAGCTCAGTAGGTTAAGCTACTGGCTCTTGGTTTCGGCTCAGGTTGTAATCTCAGGGTTGTGATTTTGGGGTTGTGAGATGGAGCCCTGTGTCAGGCTCCACAATCAGCATGGAGTCTGCTTGAGATTCTCTCCCCCTCTGCCTCTCCCCCCTGCACACACACTCCCTCTCTCAAATAAATAAATCTTAAAAAAAAAAAAATACTGGGGCGCCTGGGTGTCTCAGCCGGTTGAACAGCTGGCTTTTTGTTTCAGCTCAGGTCATGATCTCAGAGTCCTGGGATCAAACACCAGGTCTGGGCTCCACACTCAGCAGGGAGTCAGTCTGCTTGTGGATTCTCTCTCCCTCCCTCTGCCCCTCACCCCAGGTCACACACGTGAGTGTACTCTCTCTCTCAAATAAATAAATAAATCTTAAAAAAAAAGAAATATTAAAGGAAATCTCTTTCTACATATCAACTACAACATAAAGGATAAGATAGGGTGAAGGAATATGGATCAAGACAGTAATGAGATTTTTATTTTTTTTAAGATTTTATTTATTTATTTGAGAGAGAGAGAGAAAGAGAGCACGTGAGCAGGGGGAGGGGCAAAGGGAGAGGGAGAGGGAGATAATCCCAAGCAGACTCTGCACCAAGTCTGGAGCCCAACCCTACGACCCCAAGATCATGACCTGAGCTGAAACCGTGAATTGGTCGCCTAACTGATTGAGCCACCTAAGTGCCCCTTGCAAGGTTTTTATAATTTGTGTGAAATAGAGCCATGTTTACTTCAAGCATTTTGTAAAAAATTAGGGATGTGTATTGTAATTCTTAGGGCAACCAGTAAAAATAATGCAAAGAAGAAAAGCTAAAAAGCCAACGGGAAAATTAAACCTAAATCTTAAGAAAAAGTTGAAACAATAAAAAAATAGGAATGGAGGAACAGTAGAACAAAAGAAAACATAACAAAAACCAGAGGAAAAATATAAAAAACAAATCTAAATGGCAGCTCCAAATCCAACCATACCAATAATTACATTAAATACTAATGGATTAAAATACTTCATTTAAAAGATAGAGATTGTCTTATTGAAGAAAGCAAGATCCAACTATATGTTGTCTACAAGAGACACAATATAAAGACACAGACATATTGAAAGTAAATAGATGAAAAAAATACAATGTGAACACTAAGTATAGGAAAGCTGAAGTGGCTATATTAATATCAGAAAAAGGAGACTTCAAGACAAAGAGTATTACTAGAGCCAAAGGGAAACATTTCACAATGATAAAAAGGGTCATTTCACCATGACTTTACTTGCAAATATGTATATGCCTAATAACAAAGCTTCAAAATATATGAAACAAATTGATGGAATTAAAGAGACAATTCCACAATCATTCGTGATTTTATCATCTCTCCCCAGCAATTGATAAAATGAGACCAAAAAAAAAAATCAACAAAAAACTGATTTTGAACAACAGTGTCAATCACTTTGGCTGAATTGTTATTTATAGACTATGATACCTGAATGATGACAAAACACACATTTTTTTTTTCAAGGGCACATGGTGTGTTTACCAGGATAGATCATAAGCTGGGCCATAAAGCAAGTCTTAAATTTAAAAAGATTGACATCATAGCTTTTTGGCTTTTGGCTGGGAGGAGGTGAGGGTGCAACTGTCTTCGGTTCTCCCAAATCTGGGTTCATCTAACACCAGCCGCCTCCACCATGCCACCTAAGTTCAACCCCAACCAGATCAAAATCATATACCTGAGGTGCACTCATAGGGAAGTGAGTGCCATGTCTACCCTGGCCCCCAACATCAGCCCCCTGGGTCTATCTCCAAAAAAGGTTGGTGATGACATTGGAAGGGTCTGAGGTTTACAGTGAAACTGACCATTCAGAACAGAGAGCCCAGACTGAAGTGGTACCTTCTGCCTCTGCCCTGATTAACAAAGCCCTCAAGGAACCATCAAGAGACAGAAGGAAGCAGAAAAACATTAAGCACAGTGGAAATGTCACTTTTGATGAGATTGTCAACATTGTCAGATGTGGCGCTGATCTTTAGCCAGAGAACTCTCTGGAAGCTTTAAAGACATTCTGAGGACTGCCCCGTCTATGGGCTGCAATGTTAATGGGTGCTGCCCTCATGACCTCACAGATGACATCAATAGTGGTGCAGTGGCATGCCCAGCTAGTTCAGAACTACAAAGGAGAATCTTTCAATAAAGGATCATTTAACAACCAAAAAAAAAAAAAAATTGACATCATAGAGAATATTTCTCTGATTATGGTGGAATTAAATTAGAAATCAGTAAGATACTTAGGAAAACTCCATATATTTGGCAATTGGGTACCACACCTCTAAATAATCCATCAATTAAAGAAGAAGTCATAGCGGAGATTAGAAGATATTTTGAATTAAATGATAATGAAAATATAACACATCAAAATTTGTGGGATGCTGCTAAAGCAGTGCTGATTGTAGGACTGCAACAGGGGATATACAAGATGAACCTAGAACATCTTGTGAAAGAGAGTAAGGAAATGCTCAAAAATCAAAAGGATAGGGGCATGTTGAAGGGATACAGGAGCAACCTAAAAAAGCTCCATGACCACAGTTGGGACAATTTGAGTTACAAAACCAATAATGCAGTATTGGATTGTAGTCCAAAATATGAAATAAATATCCATGAATCTATATTGATATCAATCAATGACTGAATAAACAAAATGTGAGAGAAGAGACAAGTCTTCAGGACAGAAGAATTCCAGATAAATTATGTGAATGCTTCTTGAGTATGAGCTGTGGAATAAAGTATGGAAAGGGATTGGGGGAGAGGAGGATGGGAAGTAACTTTACAGTGGAAAAATGTGACAAACACAACTCCAGACAACTGATCAAGATTAACATTGTCATTGATAAGCCATGCTGATACATACTCTTTATATGATATGATGAGAATGGCACTTCACCTTCACGGTCTTTCTCCTCAAAACCCATAACACCAGTCTAACCTGAGAGAGACAAACTGAGAGACAGTCTACAAGATACCTTACTGGTATTCCTCAAACAGTCAAGGTCATCAATAACAAAGAATCTGAGAAACGGTCACAGTCAAGAGGGCACTAAAGAGACCTGATGACTAAATATAATGGAATATCTGGATAGGATTCTGGAAAATGAAAAGGACATTAGGGAAAAACTTATGAAATCCAAAAAAGGTATTGATTCAGTTAATAGTAATATATTAATGTTGATATCTTAGTTGTGACATGTACCATAGCAATGTGAAATGTCAACAATAGGGGAAACAGGGTGAAGGGTATATGGAAACTCTGTCCTATATTCACCACTTTTCTGTAAATCTAAAAATATTCTAAAATTAAAAATTTATTTAAAAAATTATGGGATGGACCTAGAGCAGTGCATAGAGGGAAATGTATAGGTTTAATGCTTATATCAGAAAAAAAAAACTCTAAAATCAATTACCTAAGTTTATCACTTTAGATGTTAGAAAATGAGAAATTAAACCCACTGTAAATAGAAAGAAGGAAATAATAAAGACCAGAACTCAGTGAAATAGAAAATGAACAAACAATGAAGAAAATAAAAATTAAAAAGCTGGTTCTTTGAAATGGTCAATAAAATTTGTAGGGCTCTCATCAGACAGATCAAGACAAAAAGAGACAAGGCAAAAATTAACAATATGAGGAATGAAAGAGAAAACATTACTGTAGATCCTACAGTCATGAAAAGAATAATAAAGGTATATTGTGGCCAACTTTGAGCTGGTAAATGTGACTACCTATATGAAATGGACACATTCCTTGAAGGACCAAAATTGCCAAAAGTGATTTAGAAAGAAGTAGAAAACTTTAATAGACCTATATAAAATACAGAAATTGAATTCATAGTTAAAACGTTATCCACAAAGATAACTTCAGGTCCAGATGGCTTCACTGGTGAATTCTATTAAACATTTAAGGAAAAAAAAATCACACTAACCTCACAAAAATTCTTTAAGAAAATAGAGGAGGAGGTAACACTTCCCAACTTATTTTATGAGGCTGGTATAACCCTGATTCCAAAACCAGATAAAGACATTACAAAAAAAAGAACTATAGACCAATATCCCTCATGAATAGAGACATAAAAATCCTTCATAAAATATTAGCAAATAGAAACCAGTGACATATAAAAAAGGTAATACATCATGACCAAGTGGGATTTATTCCAGGAATGTAAGACTGGCTTAACATTTCAAAATCAATCAATGTAATTCAACAAATTAACAGAATAAAGGAGGAAAACAATATGATCATTTCAACAGATGCAGAAAAGCTTTTGTCAAATTAGACACCCTTCCATAAAAACAAAAAAAAACCAAAAACAAACAAACAAAACACTCAGCAAATTCGGAATAGGAGGGAACTTTCTCATAAGGGGATCTTCTAAAACCTACATTTTACTCTAAGGTGAAAGGCCCAGTGATTTCTCCCTTAGATTAGGAACAAGGCAAAGATACCTTCTCCCACCACTTGTATTCAGCATTGTACCGGAGGTTTTAGCCAGTGTAAAACGTCAAGGAAAAAAATAAATGCGTATATATTGGACAGGAAGAAGTAAAACTGTCCTTATTTGCAGATAACATAATTGCATATGAGGAAAATCCCAAAGATTCTAAAAAGAGCTGCTAGAATTAATAAACTTAAAAATATCTCAGGATATAAGGTCAATATAGAGAAATTAATCTTTTTTTTTTTTTTTTTTAAGAAGGCTCCACACCCAGCGTGGAACCCAGTGCAGTGGCCCAAACTCATGACCCTGAGATCAAGACCCGAGCTGAAATCAAGAGTCGAATGATTAACCGACTGAGCCACCCAGGTGCCCCTAATCTTATTTTTATATATTAGCAATGAACATTTAGAAAATAATTTTTTTAAGTCTCCATACTTAGGAATAGATTTAATAAAAGATGTGTAAGATCTGTATGCCGAAAACTAGAAAACATTGCAAAGGAAGACTTAATTAAATGAATTCCATGTTAATGGATTACATGTTAATGCATTGGAATAGTCAGTATAATTAAGATTGTAATTCTCCCCAAACTGACCTATAGATTCAATGCAATCTTAATGAAAATCCTAGAAGGTATTTTTGAAGAAATTGACATGCTGATCTAAAATTTATATAAAGACAAAATCCATAGAATAGCCAAAATAATTTTGAAAAAGAAGGATAAAGTTGGATCACCTACATTACCTGATTTTAAAACTTGTCATAACTTATAGTGATCAAGATGTATGGTATTGAAATAAATATAGACAGATCAATGGAACAGACTAGAGAGTCAGAAATAGACCCACACTTATATAGTCAACTGATTTAAAAAAAAATATAGACTAAGGGCGCCTGGGTGGCGCAGTTGGTTAAGTGTCCAACTCTTGGCTTTGGCTCAGGTCATGATCTTGGGGTCCTGGGATCAGCCCCATGGTGCACTCCCTGCACTCAGCACAGGGTCTGCTTGGGATTCTCTCTCCCTTTCCCTCTGCCCCTCCTGCTCAGGCTCTCTCTCTCTCTGAAAAATAAATCTTAAAAAAAATAAAAATAAAAATAGACTATTTTTTCTTTTTAATTGACTATTTTTTAGAGCAGTTTTAGGTTCACAGCAAAAGTGAGTGGATAGAAAAAAAAAGTTCCCATACACATCCTACTCTGACACATACACAACCTGACCTACTATCAACATCCCACACGAGAGAGGTACATTTGTTATAACTGATGAACCTATATTGATCTCATCATTGTCATCCAAAGCCCTTAGTTTACATTAGGTTTCACTCTTGGTGTTGTACATTCTATA